CAGGTAGTGCAGCTCATCCAGGATGGCACATCAATGCGAGCTGTGGCAAGAAGGTTTGCTGTGTCTGTCAGCGTAGTGTCCAGAGCCTGGAGGCACTACCAGGAGACAGGCCAGTACACCAGGAGACGTTGAGGAGGCTGTAGGAGGGCAACAACCCAGCAGCACAGAGGCTTTTCCTTCAATCTGGTTTAGCAACTGACCTAGTTCGAAGGTTACAGCTCCAAAAGCATCAATGAACACTAGCACCATTGAGTCCCCAACTCTTCATTGATTTGCTTGCTTTAATTTGACTTATTTGCTTATTGTTTTGCTGCTGGGTAAAGATCATGGCTAGATTGAATTCTACTGTTAGGATTTCTGAGAACATTCAAACCCACAGTGTAAAATGCCTTTTTTAAGTTCGATAATGTGTAGGTTTTAAAATGCTCAGTCCTACAACAGATGCCTTCAAAGGATTACAGCAGTCTGGTGTGGATTACAGCAAAAAGCCAAGTTTAAACACAGCAATGTCAAAGATTTATAATAGACTCTGGCACGCCAATTTCTTATGTAACTGTCACTAATGCAGCTGAGCTTCTAATAAAGATTTAGTCATTCACACTGCATGGGTCCCAGAGCTGCAAATTGGGTCCACACTGAAATGTTAATCTTCAATCTTTGGGTAAAGATTTCGTAAAATTATAACTGTTTGACTTTTCTTGCAACACAATATCAGTTTGGCATTATTGCTTGTGTTTGGCATCTATGCTGAGTCAGAAGGCCACCGACAGCTTGTCTAAGGTTTCATATTGTGCAATCATGCACAACAAAGTGAGTGTTTGGTCAACTGGCTACTGGCAAGCTCAGACTGTTATGAACCTGTGAAAAGGGTCTTTCATTATGGAGAGTAGTCAAAGTCAGAGTAGACACTCAGTCAATTATTTCAGGCCCATAGGAATCATCCATCCATTTTTTTCTATATCTGCTTTTTCCATACAAGATCGGGAGAGCTGGTGCCTATCTCCAGCTGTCTAAGGGAGAGAGTTGGGGTACACCCTGGACAGGTCTGAGGTCCATCGCAGGGCAACACAGACACACACAGGACAAACAACCATGCGCACACCCATTAACACCTAAGGGCAATTTAGAGAGACCAATTGACCTAACAGACATCTTTTCGGACATCCAGAGTACCCAGAGAGAACCCACGGATGTAACATGTAAACTCCATGTAGAAAGACCCCCGACCAGGAGTCGAACCCAGGACATTTATTCTGTAAGGCAACAGTGCTACCAACTGCACCACCATGCAGCGCCATAGGAATCAGACATAACTATATTTCTAACATTTCATGAACGCATTGTTAGAATTATAGTTCATATGGTGTGTTGTTTTTATTGTATCAACACTACAATGAAAACTGAAAGCCTCAGTGCAGCATCAGTGTTGCTCCATACACTGAACACAATCTTTCTGTATTTTAATTCTAAGGCAAATAGCCATCTAACTATGTAGATTATTCTGAATAAAAGGAAGCTATGCCAAATGTACCTAGACTTTAAAAAAGCATACTTTAATATAATAATATACATTTAGATGAAGCTGCAACTTTCATTTTTTTCCTTTTATCCAACAAGCCCTGCCTGAGTTAAAAAAGCTCCAGCTCCAACTGTTGTATGTAAATCTGGCTGGAAGAAAAAAAAAAGATTTTAAGAGGGCAACAAACATGAAGAAAGACTGATCCGGCCACTCCAGGACCAGAATAAAGAACCAGCAGAGTCCCGCATGAAGAGTAGAGAAGCACTTATGAAGCTTCCAGCAGGCAGTCGATCTGTTCTGTGGGGAAGGATTTAGTTCACAGATGCAATTGCTTCTTTCCTTCTGACAGATGCTGTTTTCATTCAATTTCCTATAGTTTTAGTTCTGCAGTATGTTCATTCCCATCACCAGCTTATTACTATTCAGTGCTGCAGCCTATCCCAGCCTGCCCTGAACATCTCCCATACCCAGGAACACTGGCAATGCACCAACACTTTTAGAAACGTGTTTTACAGAAAATCCAAACAGGCAACTCGGAGGTTTTTAAAATATTATTTTAACCGCAAATCAAAGAAGACATTACTGAATTTAAATTAATTGGTAAACGAAAGCAAAAAGTCGTGTGCAGAATGGATGGCTAATGAACTAATGACTCTGTGGAGCCCTCCAGCGCCAATTGTGAACTCAGAGTAAAACTGAGAGTTGTAATCAAAATTCAGATGCCCTAAAGTTAAAACTAAGCATTCTTAAACCTAATAAAAAGACAAATACACTCACAAGAGTTATTTAGTGAATCAATTAGCATGAACAGATACATATAAGTTGCTAAGTTTTCAAATGATGAAACACATAAAAGCAGATAAGAATGAGAAGAATGGAACTCGTTTATTACCATTTGAATAAGCAGAAACAGTTTCTTCTTTTATATTCAAATGATTGCTGACATGTCAAGGATTTTCCCTTCAAACTATATATTCACAATAATTAGTAAAATAAGCTTGCATATCCACGACCTATTGAAAGCCTCCAGGAATGAACAGATGAGACCCTTTAACGTCCTGAGACATAAGCCATAATGTCGTGGACTGGCCATTACACCAATATTCTGGATGATTCACATTACAATCTACTATATATCAGTGCATTAAATCTCACCGAGAATGACCAAATGATGCTTCTTTTTGTCTTATTATAAGTGATTTCTCTGAATTGCTGTAGTTCTTCAGAATTTTGTTCTGTTTAAAGAAACTGTGTCTGAGTGTCCAAGAAACTGAGTAAAAGGCTGATTATGAAGGTTTGCCAAACTTTTCATATTTTTGTTTGCAACCATCTATTCTTTTCTTTCCTCTACATTTATGCACTAGTTTATGTTGGTAGATTACTTAAATGCCAATAAAATGCAATGAACATTATGATTGAAAACGTTTTAAGTGTGTCAGTACTTTTGCAAAGCACTTTACATTGAGTTGGCAAATATGAGGTGTTTTATTGATAATGATCGCCTTATGATGTTCTCTTTTATGGAGTATAAATGTAAAAAAGTTTGTGTCTTTTAGAAGTTTAACATCAAAATTAAAAGTTGTTTATTAATTCAGGCAACTGTCAAAAAGGAAATAATAATAAATTTAGTCATCTTAGAGCTGAATTACAACCAATAATTTAGATTTAGAATCAGCTTTATTGGCTAAGACTGTGTGCACTAACAAGGAATTTATCTTTGGTTTCACATGCTCACAGCATACAGACAATAATTACAAATATATAAACTTTAGAGAAAATAAAATTAAGGATAAAAGGAGCAGTAGAATAGCAGCAATGTATAGCGCAAAAAAAGGAGTACGAGCAAGCGTAGCGAGCGTAGTCATAAAGGAACATGTTGCGTTAATTCATTAAATAATCTAATTGTACTCTTGTGAAAGGACTTTACTGGAGTTTTATTTGTTTAGCATTGCTTACAGACTTTGTGTTTTCGGTACATTGAAGATTTAAATACACACAGTTGGTGTTTTGGATATGCGCGACAACAACAGCATAACAACAGCAGATTTAGACCTGGTACTTTATTTTGAACAAAATGTTTCTTTTCTTTTTAAAAAGGTCACTCAGAAGTGGCTTTCTCTGATCGTGTTTTTGGTGAAATTGATCTTTCTTATGAAGCCAACGGAAACATGTTTTCTTCCCAGTCAAGTTGCATAACCCTAGAGACCAATGCAATTCATACATTTGTGTAACTCCGCCATCAAAGGTTTTACACCATCTATTATTACAGTCATTTTACCAACAGTCTGTGGTTCTAGAGTTGTAAGACAGAGAGAAGTTATTTCTGGCAGCCACACTGCAGGGATTCTTTGGAGAATGAAAACGGTTTAATACAGCAGGCTTTAAGAGCTTTAGACCTAGGAACAACAGTGCACAATCCATCAAGAAATGATCCTACTTCTATTGAAGCGAGGCTCAACACTTGAGAAATATTCTGAGTCGCTCTGAAAATTCAAGATTAAAAGAGTTTATTGTTTGCACACCCACAAACATAAAAGACTTGTGCTAAAATGCACTGAAACAAACCAACAACAAACCCATTTCTTCCTAAGAGGGGATGCGGGAAGCTGATATGACACTCAGTTTGACCTTTTCACCAGAGATATTGAAGTGGCAGAAAAAAGGTTTTTGTATGTTCTGCTCTTGGTCAGGTACCCTGAGGCGGGTCCCAGCTGGGAGCAGCAGGATGGAGTGATGGAGGGTCCTCAGAGGCTGACTTCCACTTTCTCTTTACTCTGCTTCTATAAACAGGTTGGGTTTGAGTGCTAAGTATAGTTTATTTTATTTATTTATTTTTTTGTAGTAATTTCTTACAGAATGCAATATTGGCTTTTATTATGTACAGTGCTTGGCAAAAATATTCATATCTATTGAACTTTTTTTTATATTTTGTCACTTTCCAACCACAATCTTTTAGGCATTTTAAGTGATTTTATATGATGCACCAACACAAACGAGTGTATAATTGTGAGGTTGAGGGAAAATTCTTGTTTGTGTTGGGGCATCACATAAAATCCCAATAAAATACATCGATGTTTGTGGTTCCTCGGTGACAAAGGGTACGTATTTTCAATATGATTATGTTTGCATGACACTTCTTTGTAACATTTAAACTTTTCTCTTTTTCACAAGAAACATGTTTTTTTGGGTCTTTTAGTTGAACCTGCTCACAAGTTGAAGAGCTTTGCTGCACCAGCTCCTACCAAATTGAGTGGCTTTGAAAGGATGTAGTAGGCTGTAACTCATACCCAAGGGTATGTACTGGAAATTAAAACAATATAAAACCCTGATAAGGAGGCAATGGCAGCATATTGATGTTGTTTAAGTTAGGCTTCCTGTTCTAAATGTCTCTAGGGACTTTGCTCATTCATCGTGTTACTCTTTGGAAATTACACCAACTGACAAAAACAGTTCAGAGCCAAATGAGGCACCTGGAAGGAATGCTCCTATTTGAATGCAGTTTGGTATACATGAGGGCCCATGATGGAAAATGGAATGGCTCCAAGCGACACACAGTTCTGATGAGCAGTTAACATACACTCATGCATTTGAATCTCATGTGGGGCTTATACAATTTTATTGGGACCATTCTTTATCCAGGTCACATACAACTACAAAGATTGTTTTAAAAGAACGATTGAGAAGCAAGTTTGAATTAGTTATGAATTTTCTCTCATTTACACAGGGACGTAATTATACCTACAGGCTCAAATACATACATACACCCTCAGAATATTTGGTTAAATCTCCCTTAGCAAGATGGACCTCAACTACACACTCATTAACAAGCTTCTAGGATAACGGTGGCTGGATATTTGACCACTCTTCATTGAAACTGGTTGCTTTTTGGCCACAGATGCAGCTTTTAATCTAGACTATACAATTTCTGTAATATTTATGTCAGGCCATTCCAAAACCAGTTTCATGTACCAGCTGTGTTTGACCCCATTGTTTGTAGGTTTCACAGCCTCACTTTGACTTTTTATGGGCCTGATCTGATCACAAAACCTTATTTTCAGAACGTATTTAGCTTGTCAGTGTGGGTCCCTGCTAATTTTGTCCAAGCTTGAAGGTGTCGATAGTTGTCAGAACCCTTAAGGTTTCATGTAAATGTTAAACTTCACTTTAAATGGATCGAATCGTTAAAACTTTGGCACAATGTTGTATTTCACTCACCCAAAATACTTATTTACTCTGGTTTTGGAATTAATGAAGCAGACACACATTAAGCTTCTGGAATAACCTTCCTCAAACTTCGACTTCAACTATATTGAAAATTCAAATCTGAATGGGGTGGTAGTGTTATCAGGTAGTCAGTTGGACACTCTGGGAGCAAAGGGTACCTTGAAAACACAATTGACAGTATTTCTAGCACTTGACAGAGTGTATAGGCTTCACAGTGGCCTTACACTGTGTCATGTTATAAAGAGTACACCTGGTGACCTTCACTTACTGTTTTAGCAGACTGTCGGATGCTACGCAGCTGCCCTACGAAACCATTTTGCTTGACTCCTGACTTACAGTGCTGTAAAGCATAATTTACCCCATTAAAGATTTGTGCTGTTTTTTTTTTTCTTTTTGGCCCATTTAAATGTTTCAGACCATCAATCTAATTTTACAAACAGAAAAAAAATCTGAGTAAACAATAAAAGCACATGTTGATTTCATTTAAGGGAAAAATGCTATCTAAACCAGCCTGACCCTTTGTGAAAACCTAATAAACCCCTAAACCT